TGTCGTCGATGAGCATTTGTCCTTACACCTGATCTACTGTGCCCCACTGGTCACAACATTTTTGTCGGAATACTTTATGCTCTCCGTGAATGTATATTTACCATATATTGTGAAAGGTAAAGACGAATCAAAATGCTATCCAAGTGTTGTCAATAAGCTAAAGGATTGATGAGATGGATTTAGGTGAAGTGAAATGGAATGTGTACTAGTTGTACAAAAAGTCAAATACTGAAATGCATTATTAGATTTTTGTGTTTCTTTTTTATATAATCACATGCTGTCCAGTCAATTGTCTACTATGGATTCACTACAAGTTGCTTGATGACTTTCCCTGTTTTCGAGTATTATATAGGATGAAATTCACTAAAAGAGCTTTTAGAGTAAATAAACTATATGTAGAATATAAGTGTTCCTTGATATATTTGAGTGTAACTCACAGTGATCACTAACCTTGATATCATGAGGAGTGGTACATATTACTTTTATCAAGTTTAGTTTCGCTTTTACCATTCTAATCCTTATTCATTTATTCCCTTTGAAAGTAGTATGATATAATCAACCAAGACAGTTCAATTCACTCATTATATCATTAGTACACCATGTGATTTCCATAAATCAAAACTGGTGTGTTTATAGCTTTTGGTTAAATTTATCCTGAAGAATCGAATGTATAATGACATTTTTAGATCAGTAATCTTATATTTAAAAATTCCTGAATCACTCTATTTCACATTGTTTTGCTTGAAACTATATTTTGATGTCACAGAAAAAAATAAACTCCTTATATAGAGATTTGTAATTAACTAAAATGATCACAATTCACACAAATGCATTGAAAGAAAGGTCAGCAAGAGGAAAAAGAACAAGATGAAGCAGTTGATATGTTGGATAGTTGGCGAGAAACCCTGAACCTAGGTTTCGTACTTGTTAGCACTTATCAGCAAGGCGCATCTATAATCATTGATGAGAACTCGTGTGTACCCTTTTGAGACTCGAACCCGCGTTACCCAGCGCTGCAGTTAGAGATGTTACCACCGAACTATTCAGGCTTGACAGGACTCCAAGTGAACATAGACAAGACGGAGGTGATGAAAAATAACCAACCAACAACAACAGCAGCAACATCCAGCGTCAATCACCATCAACGGGAGGGATTTGAAAGAGGTTAATTCATTCACTTATCTAGGGAGCATTGTCTCAACTACAGGCAGTCGGAATGGACGAAGATGTCAAATCGAGCGGGAATCGGGAAGGCGAGAAACACATTCATCAACCTGAAACCAATCTGGAAATCTTCGTCATTTCAGCATCAACAACAAAATTCGGATCTTGTATACAAACAACGTCAAGTCAGTTCTTCTATACGGATCAGAAACTTGGCGGGTGGGTCACAAAGAATATTTCCAACAGGCTATTGCAGGCCAGACCTTTATCAACAACTGTCTTCACTGGATCTATACTGAAGATCAGATGGCCATGCTGGAAAGAATCACCAACAAGGAACTATGGGAAGAAACAAAACAAGAACCAATCACCCAACAAATATGCAGGAGAGAAGGGAGATGGATCGGACACTCGCTGAGGAGACCGTTGGGTGACATCGCGCGTCAAGCCCTCGAGTGGAACCCGAAAGGGAAGCGGCGAGTAGGACGTCCATGGGTGACATGGAGGAGATCGTGTGAAGAGGAGTTGAAAGAGTATGGACTAACATGGATGCAGGTGAAAAGTACAGCAGAAGGAAGATAGAAGTGGTAAGTGGAGACGTGCAGTTGAAACCCTATGTTCCACTAGGAACCCAAGGGAGCAAGAATAATAATAATAAAAATAAGTAACCAATGTCATGCGTCTAGACTTTCGTTTGATGCAAACTGAATTCTGTCAGTACGAGTTGTTACACCTTTTGTCTACCCATCAAGTAGGAGGAATAAGAATCATAAAGTGAAAATAATATAATTATGCGTTGTACAGCTGTAGTTGATGATGTATCTATTTCATAACTATGAGGTTGTCACTTATTGACATAAGCGCTAGGTTTTCAGTCAATGGATCACAAATTCGAGTCCTGCCTCACCTACTTAGGCAAGAGCAACTGGGAAGTCTTGTCAGCCCTTACACGATAAGTGTGGCTTTTAGCCTAGTACCTGAAAAATCTGTTCCGGGTGATTAAGCTTAAGCATAACAGTCTCATAATTAGGTAATTCACTGTTTTACGCTACAAATCTCCTTTTCATTTATCTTTATCCGTAAATACTCATAAAAAAATGCTCCATATTCATACACTCGAGAATTAGTACTCAAGATAACATCGAAACTGACTTTGTTTAAATAAAGCAGTTCAAAATTGGAGGGCAATTTAAATCAATCTGCAAATTTTTTCGACTATACTGACTTCTTAACTTATTGTACATCATATTAATTTCTATCCTCTTAATATATCCGCAAAATGAATGTTAATAGTTTAAGTGTTAGGTACAATTTAGCATATTGAAATTGAATTCTTTCTCGAAGTTCATTTTATCTCTACCTCTATTTAATGTTAATTCAATAGAAAATAATAACCATTTAAAAATTACCTCCATTGGACTGGGTTTTTATTTTATTATCCTGTAGATTTATAATAATATATGCTAAAGGTAAAACAAAAAAGAACTGTGACTAAAGTGTACAGTTACTTATCACTGTTTATATATATGTATAGTCTTTTACACGTGTGTGTATATCTGCATTTGTCAATAAATATACAGACTGTAGTAACACATGTAGACGGTTTTAATCAATTTATGACATTGTGCTTAATTTTTACACATTAATTATAATTGTATTCTCAGCAACCAGCCTCTATAGTTAAATACACACTAGTAAGTAGTACATGTCATGAGACTTATGTTTTTTTATACGCTTATTCGAATTTTCTACTCATATGATCTAGGTTGCTTAGGCAGGTCTAGATACATATAACAAAGAAGATTTATAGCTCAGATGGATAATATTGATGTGTTTGTGTTCTCTGCGCCGGATGATTTAAATTGTGAAGGTTTCATATTCTTTGCAGACAACATTTTCAGCGAATACATCATCAAGTTGAAGTGAGCTTTTAGAATTCTTCACGAGTTTACCAGTCATCTCTTCTGGTAACCTGAAATGTGATTTATTGTTTCTGGATATATATATATATATATATATATATATATATATATATTGATTCTCTAGTTCGTGTGTATAAGTATTGGTTGCTTTTGGCTGACTTGAGAAGTCTTCAAATATATCTATTTTGTTTCTAGCCTAGTTCTTCTTTGTTGATTTGACGAGTTTCACTATTACAAATGAAATTATAAATATCCTTCAAGTTTGTTTTGTTTTGTAGAATAAATGGGTAGATCATCATTTCCAACAATAAGAACCATCATTACTATATAGCAGTCTAGGTCGCTGCATAGCCCTTGTCATGTCAGTGCTAGGGAAGGAGGGTTGTGAAGTTTCATCGACTGAGATGGTTACGACATGTGTTACGCATGCACGCCTAGCCATCGCCCTACCTCGACAACGCGCAATGTTAGGTGGCATAGGATGGATCAGGTTGGAAAGGAGCCATTGGTGGTCAAACCGAAACAGCCTCATCAGTCAGTGAAATTCACAGTATTTAGTTTATGCCACGTAGGAAGATGTAGCCTTCCTGGTTGGGATCCTCAGGACGGTAAACACCGATGGCTGGAGACAATTGGTGACATGGCTTAGAATCGTTCTCAATGACTAGCACAGATGCATCCACTCCTTGTGACTTATAATACGCAATAAAAACTATTCTGTTCTTTGATATTACTATTCTTTTATGCTTGATATGTCTGTTTACTGTCTCTATTTTTCACTTTTTTTTACTTTCTCCTTCTTCTCTGGCTTTGTATACTGAGTGAAGTGTGGCGACTCGAACTGGTGCTCATCGGTGCAAGGTTTTATGTTGAAGTCAGACAGATGGATAGCCATTGTGTTTTCACACATGAAGTAGGAAGAATAAAGAATCAAGAGGTAAAAGTAATATAATTGAAGATTTAAAACAATTAGTTCCCTTTATGAATTTAGATGAAGCAATAAGAAGACGTAATTTGTCTGAATCGTGTAATGTATTTGCGCAACACATTTCGAACAATCTGATCACACACGGACTTGTCATAGGAATATATATATATATATATATATATATATATATATATATAATTAATAAAGAGGTAAGAGGTGAGAAAAATAGACTTAGGTCAAGTTAAAAGGACATATTCAAGGTCAAAATAAAAATGAAGACCACTAAACCAAATAGCAGAGGTTATAAGTAGTACATCTGCTACGGTATCAAAACAAAATTGACGAAGGAAGGTTTAATGTCATGACAAATTGTTTTTGAACGCATAAACGTGGCTTGAACTTTCTAATTGCTAGGGCTTCTACAAACTTTAGGATACGCCCCAAACACGTTTTAGAGATAGGTTTAAAAGATCTGTTAACATCAATTTTATGACCTTTACATAATTGAAGATAATAAAACTCTATAAAATGCAGCAGTTGAAGAGGTTCGATGTTAAGGTGAATTACGGTTGTTTGTATTTAACGCCAGTCAATTTTAATGTGTGTGTGTGTGTGTGCGACCTCAAGTTTACAGTCGTATGCTACAGTTGCAATGCATAGCCTACGGCCAAACATTGTTTTTGGTTAGATTCAACGTATGGATATCGGTTAGTAAATCAGCGAAAGAGTTGGTTTGCGACTCAGTCAAATGAAGAACAAGTGTATCTGTGTGAAAGTCTAGTTTAAGGTTACTAGAAAGACTTATATTAAATTCTATTGGAATGTTTATACATAGATTTATAGTCTAATGGATTCTGCTACTGATAATTGCAACTTTTACAAAACTGGTGGGCGTGCTTATAAAGTAGGCAGCTTCCTTTTTTTGTTCGAACAGTTTTGATTAAGTGTTTAATTTATCTTCTTAAATAATTCTTTGTGTTTACCAGTTCTCTTTACCCTATCGTTCTAATGAGGTTCGAACAATCAGCAATATTCTTTTTGCACCATTGTATATAATTGGTAAAATGAAAGAGGAAATCCCGTTGGAAATTGAAATGGCGTCTAATTACCAGTTTGATACGGTTAGTCAGCTGCCGTTTTATTATATATGATACAATTTTATTTTATCAAACAATTGCGTTGATTATTTACAATTTTTGAATTTTTAAATGCTAATCATATGACTATTACTAGGGGTGACATTGATTTACCTACAGGACAATAAATAATGGATAATAAACGATACACAACACTGCATAATCCCTAATTTCAGATTGGATAACTGGTCAAATTTAAATGTGATCTTCAGCACTGGTGTATACAAACATGATCATATATATGTGAAGATAATTTTTGGGAAAGGGTTATTAAATGACCTATGCCCATAGTCTCATGAGGAAAGATTAGTGCTAGAGGTGGTAAAAAGAACAAGAAACATAAAAAAAAGTATGCTTACACAATAGCCAGATATCCGAATTTTAAGTTGGTTGGTACATGTCGTGAAAAAAACAGACTTCTACTTGTGTGTATTGTGTAAAGTGCTTGAGAGGATTTTGTTATTCACGATACAAACTTGGTACAGTATGAAGACTAAAAGTTGTGCTATGCAAGGCAATAAGACAACAGCAAAGGAAAAAAAATGGAAATAGTTGAGGATAGACCACCTCTTCTCTTGTCCATTCAGTTATAGAGCTAGCAAAGAATGATTAGTATGAAGGCGTTCTTAACACACATCTAAGTCACCAAAATCCAGTGTCCCAAGATAATATCACTAATTAAAAAGCGGTCTCAGAATTACTTACATAGCGACATCATCCTGTGCAAGCAGTCCTACGGAGCCAGCGATGACCAAATACGCAGAGTCGTTAGATTTTAGAGATCAGGTTGCATAGATGTACAGCGAGACTGCGCACATCAAGTCTTTGGAAATTCATATTTAATGGCCGAACTAATATCCCGATGACGCCAGAGGTAGTCCATGCTGCTGTATATCGCCTTGACTTTCCCTAAACGATTGAAAATGTCATCTGCACTCATCATATAGCAACTTACTGCATAAACTTTTCGACTATTAACGGTGCACCTGCAAGGACAGTTAAGAGTAAAGACTCCTGAAAATCTTGCAACAGCACTTTACATGTAGACAGTGCAAAGAAGGTTGTGGCCAGCAAGTTTGTGTAGCCTAGTTACATACAAAAAAGCGATATCGTTTGAATATTCTTTCCCCGGAGATCAACACGACAAGTACACACAAGCTTCTGGATATCTTGGATGATAAAACCGCACTGCTTGTTGAGAACAATGATAATAGCTGGTACGTATGTATGTATGTCCTCATTCCACCCGAATTGTTTTTATAAAAGGTACTGATAAACCTCTCAAGAACGTCTCTCTCTAATACACTGTCCTAAAGATCAGGCGTGTCTAACGTATGGAAGGCAGACCTAATATTGAGAACGATTGTTAATGGGTGATTCGATTCTAACAACTGACGAAAACCGTACTTATGATCGATGCATTCACGGCATAAATGAAACCCAGCTTGCTCTTTACGAGTCAGTCTTTCATGAGTTCACAAAGCTTTCAGAAAACAATTAAAACCAGTATTTTAGACACATCTGGTTACAGAATAATTCTCCGATGATTATCGCATGCATTGTCAGTCTGTCTGTTTTCGACATAGAACTTTGCACATACGTGCAGCAGTTCAAGTCGCCACACTTCAATCAGTACACAAAGCCGGGCAAGAAGAAGAAAGTTTTTAAAAAAATGCAAAATAAAGACAGTAAACAGAGATATGAAGCAAAGAGAATAACAATATAGTTTTATTGGAAATCATAAGTCACACGCTGAGAATTCCATACTTGTACCAAATATACAGTGTGGAATCAAGCTGTAATCAAAAATAAAAAAAATAAAAAAATAAAAATAAAATAAGGAGTGGATGCATCTGCACCAGCCATTGTGAACGATGCGTTTGAGCCATTTCAACCATTGTTTCCAACCCTTGGTTTTTACCGTCCCGAGGACCCCAACCAGTCAGGAAGTCTACACCTTCCTACGTGGCTGGCTTAAACTAACTGTTGTGGATTTCATTGACTGGTACCATGTTTTCGTTTGACCGCCGCTAGCTCTTTTCCAGCCTGAACCTATGTCAGCTAATATTGCCCGTCGAGGAAGGCGATGACTAGGCGTGCATACGTAACACATGTCCTAACCATCTCAGTCGATGTAATTTCACAGCCTCGTCGATTGATTTCCCCAGCTTAGCTAGAACTCGACGCCTAACCTAAATATTGCTCACCTTATTATACCACTTCACACGGGAGATAGAGCGCAGACACCTATGATCAAAGACAGCTAATTAGCATTAATTGGGGCTTTTCAAAAGACAGGCACAGCATTGGCTTCATTCTACATTGATAGGATATTTTCATTTAGCTGAACTTTCGTAAACAGCCCCATCAATTCTCTCATTAAAATCTTACCATCTTCAAAAAGATCTAAGGCAAGTTTTCTGGACCGAGTGCCTCATGGTATTTGAGTACCTGGAAGGTTAGCTACTAGCCTTGAGTCTATCTCAGTTTGATGCTTTTTAGTATTGATCGATACATCGCTTTATTTACGTTAGTCTGTTTAGCACGAGCATTAGATTTAAAATATTGAAAACTGGCTGTGTTTTTCGAAGTGTTCTATCCAACGTCCAAGTCGTCTTTGTAGGGCTGCTAACCGTCATGCTATCTGCCTAACAGACCGTCTCCCTAACACTATGCTTCTTTCTACTGATTGCTCTGATTAACTGGAACAGCCTTAGACTTTTGCTACATGCCGCTACTGATTCCATCTCACATGCGTTCTTTGACTACGAGGTTCATGTACGCGCTGTCTATACAGCATATTATTACTCTGGAATGAACCAATGGGCATTAGTGAACGGCTGACAAAAGTAAAGATACTAACAAACGTAAACAATGACAGAAATAAAACGATACAGTTTATGTACATGAATAAGAATATGATGGTAAGGAATTAAATGACTGATAAAAAAGCAGGTACAATAGGTTGTGACAACGGAGAGATCACTTAAAGCTAACCATCAAACTGTCCTTCAATATTCATATGAGAGTTGAAATAGTGACTAAACTACTATGTTGAAGCAGATTGCTGTCTTTATGGAACCGCTCTCAAAGACATAGTTTCTGGTGACTGAAACGTTGTCATTCTTTTATCACCCTAAATACTCATATATCATTGGTTTAGAAGCAAGGCTTTCCAATTCTTCTAAGTTAACTCCCCATTAGTCTAGTGATTACAGGTGGGAATTCTCATTCATCTCTTCACTTTGTCGCTGAAAATGCGTAAGAAAAAGTCAACCCGAAAATTTCACATCCTTCACTTTCCAAATAAGCTTGTGTTTTGTCAAACTCGAACATTTGCCTCCTGAGCTCTGCAGTTACGCAGCACTGATGCTTTCTCTGCTTCAGGCACTCAAAGAAATCATTTTCGATAACTATGAAGTAACTGCCACCCATAAGCTTCCATACACACAGTCCGTCTGGTCGTCATATATAGTATTCATCTTTCTCTCCCTTTGTTAGTACTAGTCTCAGTAAAGTTTGCGACCATTGATAGTGACTAAAGTGAGAGGTATGGATTCAAAACTAAACAGCCTAGCCCCCGACCGCCATCCTCACCAGACTGACCTCATAAATCCATAAAACTCACCTTACAAATGTCAAAACATTCCACTGATTTTGTAAACTCCTTGTTGCACATATAGTACCAGGAGCTATCTCAGATTCATACAAGGAACTATCCACTGGGGTTTAATCGAACCTCACCGATAGCTGCTACCTTGACGTGGTGGTCGGGCTTGCATATCGCAATAACCCAACAAGCTACATTGGCTGGAACCAATGTTCCTGTAGGTCCTACCATGTCAGGAATGTCATTAGGATAGTGATTAGACTAAAAGCAGTTACCGGCTTAGTGTAAAAATTTCTTTAGACTATGCTGGGGGTCTGTGGGCGAAGTCCTACTGCTGCGGAACAGGTATGTAACAGCAGTAAGGTGTTCCCCTCAGACGACCAACATGCCAGCTATGCTGTCTCTCCACTCTGGAGGGAGGGGGTTAGAAATGGCCGACCATCAACAATTGTACATCCCAACCTACCTTACGGTGGTCCGTAACCGGCGGTAAGCTTACTAATACGGAAAAAATCCAAGAAACCAGTTTATGCAGGCTGTGTGTGACGGGCCTCAAGCAGTTGTCCCCTGGGCTTTGCGGACACGCAACACTAACCCTCTTTCTGTTTCAGGTACCCGAATAATCAATCAAAACTTCCACGGTGTGGGCAACCGGAAAGTAACAACCGCCCACACACTTCCAAAAGCACACGAAGCCTTCCTGGACATCATTCTCCATTACCCACATCACCTTACTTTCCTACTACAGTCGGTACTATTCTTCAGGCTAGTTAGTCATCTTCACTCTGTGACAACAAACAAGGATGAGAGTTGTAGCGACGAGCAATGTTAGCGGATATAGGGTCAGGCTGGAAAAGAGCTAGCGGGGCGGTCAAAGAAAAAATTGGCACCAGTCAATGAAATCCACAACAGTTAGTTTAAGCCAGCCACGTAGGAAGGTGTAGACTTCCTGACTGGTTGGGGTCCTCGGGACGGTAAAAACCAAGGGTTGGAAACAATGGTTGAAATGGCTCAAACGCATCGTTCACAATGGCTGGTGCAGATGCATCCACTCCTTGTGATTTATGATTTCCAATGAAGCTATATCATTCTTTGTTATTACTATTCCTTTGTCTCACACCTCTGTTTACTGACGCTATTATGCATTTCTTGTACTTTCTTCTGTTGCTTTGTGTGTTACATGGAGTGTGGCAACTTGAACTGCCGCACATCTTTGCAAAGTTGTATGTCGAAAACAGACAGACAGACATGAGACCTATAGAATCATCCCCGACAGCCTCCTAAAGCCAAGTTACCAACTTCATATAGGAGCATTCAACGTCAGGACCCTCTGCCAAATTGGACTACAGACATCACTAGCTAGAACTCTGGCATCTCGAGCCATGGCTGTATGTTGTGTTTCGGAGACACTCATACAAGACCCGAGTTTTGTCATTCACTTAACCTCACCCAGCCAACAAGGTGAATCTACAAAATTCACTTTAAGGGTGTCAGGAGACCCCTCAGCTAGTTCGTGAGGACTCGCAGGTGTAGGGATAGAATTGAGTTTTTGGGCAGAAAAATGATTCATTGACTGGGTCGCAGTAGATAGTCGTATATGTGCGGCCCGTCTGAATGGGTTCGTTAAAATAAGGGAAAACAGCACTACTCGTCGTCGTCTTTTCGTGGTCTCCACTTACGCCCCAACAGACTGCAGTTCGGATGAACTGAAGGATGACTTCTACCTGAAACTGTCTAATTTGCTGCAAAAAGCAAAACGCTCAGATATAGTTGTTTTAGCAGGGGACTTCAGTGCCCAAGTAGGGAAGTTGTGCCATACTGAGAAGTATGTAGGTGGTACGTATGGAGTTCCCTGTCGACGAACCGACAACGGTGATCCTTTTCTACATTTTTGCTCAGATGATCATCTGTTCCTAGTCACCACTAACTTTAGGCACAAAGAAAGACATTGTGTAACCTGGTGACCTTCATCACCAAATCAACGCTGGACTCAGATAGACCACATAGCGATAGGGTATCGTAGACGAGGGTCAGTAGAAGACTGTTGCTCCTTCTGGAACACGTGCGTAGACTCTGATCACGCCCTGGTTCGCACACGTTTATGCTTACGACTAAACGGGCATAAGAAATTGATGACAGTGAAACAGTTACGTCCCCAACTAGACCGAGACTCTGAGTCCATTTTTAAGGAAGAAATAGCGAAACAAGTGTCTGAGGTTGACAGCAGGACTTCCCCTGAGGCAGCCTGGCACAACATACAGTTAGCTGTCGACACAGCTGTAAAAGCTGTTAGTAAGCTAACACCAAAAGTTAGTAAGAGGCATTGGATTTCTACCGCGTCATCCGAACTGATTGACGCAAGAAGGCTGATTCCAGCGAACTCCGATTATGATGAGGAGCGAAAGCTACTCAAATGAAAACTAAAAAGAAGTCTTTGCAACGACCGTGAACAGTGGCGGGTGACAAAAGCGAAAGAGATGGAAAAGGCATCGGCAATTGGTAACATCAGAAAACTATTTAGGCTTATCAGGGAAACAGGTGGTAAAAGGGAAATGATAAATGAGACAATCTCTGAGAAAATGGCATCATAATTAGCTCTGAGGATAGACGACTAGAACATTGGAAAGAATACTTTGAGGAGCAGTTCAATTGGCCTACAACCACGCTCAGCTTACCGAACGTCCAACACCTGCCTGAATGGGATATAAACACAGGTCCTTCGTCCTTGACTGAGGTTACTATGGTTATCGCTAGTCTGAAACGAGGACCTGATGGAATGACTGCAGAGGTGTTTAGGAATGGCAGAGACAGTTTACTGTCTGAGTTAACTGAGGTACTAGGCAGGGTCTGGGAATCAGAGGAACTCCCGTCGGGTTGGTACAAGTCATTGATTATCCCCATATACAAGAAGGGAGACTAGTCTTCCTGTGATAATCACAGGAGGATTAGCTTGACTAATATGGTATCTGGAGTTCTAGGCTCAATAATAATGAGTAGACTAAGCGGTCCACAGGAGAAACAAAGACGAGAACCAGGCAGGCTTTAGACAAGGGAGGTGTGTTAGTCACGTCGACAGATTCTGGAACATAGGCATTCTTATCGGCGTCCAACAATCGTCATATTTTGATTGGACACTAGTAACTAGTGTGACGTGTCTAGTCCTTTCTTTGGTGCAGATTGAATTCCATCAGTCAGGTTTTGCAATGTGGCTAGTTAGCACTCATCAGCAACCCTGAAGGAACTCACGTCCCTTTTGAGATTCGAACCCGCGTCACCCAGTGCTGCAGTCAGAGACGTTACCACTGAGCTATTCGGGCTCGCGATTAACCTCCTGATGAGTGCCAACTGGCACGAAACCCAGGTCCAAGGCTTCCTGCCGATTGCCTCCAACTATCTAAAATCGTCTTATTTCTTGACCTAAAGGCGGCATTAAGTCCTGTCGACCGAGAGGTACTCTAGCGATAATCGGCTGTGAAGGGAATGCCGAGAAAATACATTGCACTTACTAAGGCACTCTACTCGAACTCTTGCAGCCAGGTGAGGGCTTACGGCGAGTTGTCATTTGAAGTGGTGACGACTAGTGACGTCCGACAGGGATACCCACCATCCCCATTTCTATTCAATTTCATCATAGATGTACTGATGGACTTAACCCTGACCCACTTCAGCGACTCAGGGATTGACATGTTACCAGGGAATAATCTCGTTGACTTAGAGTATGCAGATGATATAGTCCTGCTTTCAGATGAAGACGCTGACGAAATGTAGAGTCTTATGGACACCTTGAGTTGCAATCTTCGAATGTTTGGCATGTGATTCACTCCTGGCAAATGCAAGATAATGTTACAGAACTGGACTACATTAACTTCTAGCTTAGAATTAGGGAGTGAAGTGGTAGAGCGTGTTGACCACTTCACTTATTTGGGAAGTTGCATCAGCTAGTCCCAACCGGTTGATCTCCGACAAAATCTAATATACCAGTTTACGCCATCTCTGGCTAGCTATTGATATGTGTACTGCTCCGTCTTCCTTTATGGCTGCAAGACGATGTCATTAAGAGTGGATGACATGTAAAGACTAGCTGTCTTTGATCATAGGTGTCTGCGCTCTATCTCCCGTGTGAAGTGGTATAATAAGGTGAGCAATATTTAGGTTAGGCGTCGAGTTCTAGCTAAGCTGGGGAAATCAATCGACGAGGCTGTGAAATTACATCGACTGAGATGGTTAGGACATGTGTTACGTATGCACGCCTAGTCATCGCCTTCCTCGACGGGCAATATTAGCTGACATAGGTTCAGGCTGGAAAAGAGCTAGCGGCGGTCAAACGAAAACATGGTACCAGTCAATGAAATCCACAACAGTTAGTTTAAGCCAGCCACGTAGGAAGGTGTAGACTTCCTGACTGGTTGGGGTCCTCGGGACGGTAAAAACCAAGGGTTGGAAACAATGGTTGAAATGGCTCAAACGCATCGTTCACAATGGCTGGTGCAGATGCATCCACTCCTTGTGACTTATGATTTCCAATAAAACTATATTGTTATTCTCTTTGCTTCATATCTCTGTTTACTGTCTTTATTTTGCATTTTTTTAAAAACTTTCTTCTTCTTGCCCGGCTTTGTGTACTGATTGAAGTGTGGCGACTTGAACTGCTGCACGTATGTGCAAAGTTCTATGTTGAAACCAGTCAGTCAGTCAATCTAATTGAATTAAGTTTTCTGCCCTATCAGAAAAGCGTAAATGGTTGGTCACCACTGTTTATAAAAATCGAAGTTTATTCTATTAATATATGTGTAGAATTTGGGCACTGTAGTAGTAAGTAATTCCATTTTAGTTTGTTTATTAGATGTATCACATAGTGAAACAGTATTACTTGCTGGATGACGTTGATATGATTATGAACAATAAATTTTTTTCGACACCTCATCCAGTAAATAATGCTGTTTCACTGTGTGATGCATCTGATAAACAAACTAATATGAAGCTTATCCTGTAATAAACATGGGAGTGCTAGGTTGACTGAGATTCTATGTTTCTAAGTAGATGCGTCATGTGCAGACATTCTTTCGGGTGTGAAACATTACCACTAAAAATGCATGGGGAGGAATTAACGGCCTTTAACCGTAGGTGCTGATGTACTCTACTACTTAACGAGTGACATTGGCTGAAACAACACTAAGTTGGAAACATGAAACCAATCAACGTAGCCGTTAAGTCCTAGTCTGACCCACATGGGTGCAGACTTTGTAGATGGGGTCGTCGAGTAACTTAAATCGTTTATAGTGACGCCGGTGTATCCACTTTGTATTGCTTCACAGATTCGGAAAATGTCCATTGGTCTTTGTTTAATTCTTCTGTTCGCTGTAGGTCTTTGTCCACAGTTAGTTCGTTAGGCTTTTTGTTGGTTTGTATTTTGTTAAGTTTATAAGTGGACTAATGTACTTTTGTACAGAGTTTTAAGTTTTTCATTCAGCCCTTATTTCATCAACTGCATAAGGTAGTCATCCTCTGTTTCTAGATAATATGTGGCATGAGAGTGACATGTAATATTGTTGATAGGTACGTTTACTCTTCCCATATACTACAAGACATACAAACTATTCAGACAATCGTAGTCATTGTGGCTTTTATAGTCACAAAAATGTAGCCGCGTTAAATAGATACTATTTTTAAATATTTGTCATACAACTATATTAATTTCGGTTAAATCCTACTCTAGGTTCAACCAATCTTGGAGGGTCGCGTTATTTTAGAATCCAAGCGCTATTTGTGGTCATCTTTAGCGCTAAAAATCCAAACAACTCTAGGTAGAATACACAGCATTTTGTATTATTATCCACAACTTTCTTCATCATCTGCGTTTGTACAGTAATACTCCTTATGAACTTGGTGATTATTGCCCTTGTGATTTTATATATTTTTCGTGAGTATTCCAATAAACCAGAAATTGTTAAAGTCCCAAAGCCGAAGATGAACTGAAATTCGAGCAGTTGGTTGGAGAAATTAAACCGGAAGACATTTCATTCTGAAACTACCATATACATCTGTGAATACTAACTGTCTTTCATGTATGCTTTTTAATTTACTAATCTATTACTACTGTCAGAACTCTTAAACTTTCACCCCATATTTTTAATGATTTTGAAAAAAATGAATTTACCTTTGAATTTTTGTCACCTAAATATAATTCGTGTTATTGGTGACGGTTACGGGATTCGTAAGTATAAGTGTTTCGAAGTAATTTTAGAAATATTCAAATCCAGATATTCCCTTTTTTTATCATCATACATATATGGATAGGAAATACTCCCTATACGATTTTCGGAATACATTCCACGAACTGTGGTTTGGGAGGCGATAAATGCATATTAAGATGCAATAACTACACAACTGCATTTTGGGTAGCATATGAGTTCTTCAAAATACACAATAATTGCTCTTCCAATGCTACAAAGTATTCTACAATTTATTCGCGCAGTACGATTAATTCATATTCTAAATTTATTGTTTACCACCTAAATATCGACGCTTGACAGTTTTTTCAGATGCAAAAAGTAAAAATAAAATGCATAAGCATATTTACAGCGATTGGATAATATTCATAACGATAAGTCTCTTGTTGATTGCCTTCTGTATAAGAATGAAAGTCTCAAAAAAAGATAGAACTGTTTAGACATACTTCAGCTGAAAGCAACATCTGCTAAGTGTCAAAAACTGACTGCTTCGTCGTTTACATTGGTCACTGATTTGTATCTAAAGAATTTACGTTAGACACATTACAGCTGAGAGCTTTATTTTAACTGTACTCATCTTAAACACACACAAAAACACCCTTGTTAATAAAAACTTAAATGGTGTTACTCAACAACCATGTGCATGTTAATGTTCTTGGTAGTTAACTACAGTTAAGGTCTAGGTGAACGAAAGTTGGGATGCATGATGCCTACTGTCACTAAATGCTTACAAGTGCCGATGTGCACGAAAAATAGGCATAGGTCTGTCTGCTAAATGAAACATAAGGCAGTAGTGTCCCTTAGTTGAGAGATCATATTGGATACAGAAACAGTATACTTCTACCAGAAAAGCTGGGTCTAGGTGAGTAGACTGGTATTAAGATGTTATGGAAATCTCGGTGTTCACTCAAATTCGCTGAATAATTAAAGGGGTTGTAGCCATCTTACAAAGAGAAGTCATGATTCAGTGTTTTGTGAATCCTTTGCTTTTGATAATGATTTAAGTAATTCGAGTATCTAATGTTTAATGGAACTGAATACACCAAAATATGATTAAAGGCTAGGTACAGTTGGAAGCATCTATGATAATATATATATATATATATATATATATATATATATAACAGTTATTGTATATAACATAGTTATTGTATACAAATATATAATTCTTAGAAAAGCATCTGGAAACAGTTAAAAGCTAGGTCAGGAAACACGGCCATCAGTCGTAACGTCGAAAATGAAAGTACGAAGAGTACCGAGTAAAAGGTCTTGTGTTATTTAGCCGTTTACTAGTCAATAATTCCATCTAAAAATTCAAACTTCTGAAATAGCTTCACAGTATTCTGTACATGCAATTTGGAAATAGTCTTTTTCCCATCTTGGAGTGTTACTTCACGAACGCTACCACAAAAATCCTGCACGAATTGTTCACAAAGAAATCCAATAGCCACCAACGCCTCAAAGTTAACAAGGTTGACGGATGGCACTGTCTTCACGATTGTCTTGATTCGAGACAGGGGAAACTTGACACGCTTTTCAGGAAGACTAACAGTTGTAACATCTGAAACTTTATTTAAATCCAAGAAGCCATACCTTCCGTATGTTGCTGTTCATCACTGTTAGCAATCGACATTATTCGTACCTGCCAAGGTCGAAGCCCTGTATTGAGGACCCGCCACCGCGCCAATTTAACCACTTCATAGATTTAAACACAACTTCATTTGTTACCTGTACAACTGGACAGTAGTAAACATAATTAAAAATTGATAAAAGATAAAAATTAGAGTCCTCAAAAAGCCATACTTTTGGTCAATCTTTTAATTTAGCTGAAAATACAGTTACAAGTAGTAACAACATTCTTTTGCCACTTGAATATATCCGGCGATGAAGCTGTATTATTTACTCGAAAACTTTAAAAGCCAGTCATATCATGTGAAGAGAAATAACTTGGAATATCGGTTTTGATATTTCTCGTTCCTACTGTATACTTCACGTAAGGCCGAATAAATCCTAACTAGTGAAGGAATTAGAGTAGTATTCGGAACTAAAAATCAGCTAAAAAAAGTTTTTTTGGCTAGCGAGTCCTATGGAGTCAAAACAAAACAGTGTTATCCATTAATTCACAATGGTTGGCCAAATACGTCCGGGGCAATTAAACTAGCGTCACTGAGAGGCTTAGCAAGATAAAAACTCTTCGGACCAAATGAAATGAGAATTGGAAAAATACCTCGCTTATGGAGTAACATGAAGTTACCCGACCGCACAAGATGATTGTACAAGTTAACGAAAATAAATTTTATTGTGTATATGAGTAGAGGAAACCAATTATTTAGTCTATTCTAGTGATTTTGAACTGGTTTTTAGTAGGCTTCAACCAGAAATAACGTTCATGATTACTGTGGGGCTATTAATCCAGCTGGAATTGAACTCTAACCTACTTCCTGCTGACACCTCAACCTGGCCAACCTAACATGGTGGCCGGAAAGCTCATAAGGCCGACACAAATAGTGAAGGGAAGATATAACATTTATGGCTGCTGTTAATGCAGATGAAGATTGAACGATCAATTCATGGTTGTTTGCTCGAAACCAACTCCTCCATATTTTTCGCGGGAGTCACCAATACAGCAGTCATCGTTCGCTGTTCAGTGGAAGAGTTCACTGTTGCTTGGGTCAAAGAAGGGACAAAGCGTCTTGGAAGCAAGCAGGAAAGTAAGTAATGATGTATTGCCTGTTAAATGTTATGCTGTGTATGATGCTCAGCATGATGACTGTTGCACAGGCTTCGCCGTTTGGGGATAGTAAGGGTTTAAATTTTCCTAAATTCGAGCCTCGGTACTTTGATGGAAGCCAAGCCTACTATCCAGAGTTTAACAAAACGTTTTAGATGAATCATGAAATGAAGTTGATCTATTTGATGAGGTACTGCACTGGAGTTGCTTAAAGAGCCACACAGTGCTGTAAGTTCATGCCCCCTATCAAAGGATACTCTGAGGCTATGAGTATACTACGGTAAAGATTCGGAAGAACTTCGATGATTGTAAAGAAATTATTCGAGGCTGTTAAAGGTAATGGTAGTCAATTACAAGATGACTCCAAGGCACTCACTGAGTTTTTGGATAATCTGATGACTTACAAGAATGCATTGATTTCGATGAATTGCATGAGTGACCTCAACTCGAGCTCAGTCCTAGAGGTAATAGCGAGACGCCTACCTACTCGATCGCAAAGGAAGTGGGTGAAGATAAGCTCCCGTATGGAGGATGAAGGCATCGAGACAGAGTTTGATGGTATCCTGAAACTGGTAAAAGATAGCGTCAATCAATCTATGAGCAAGTTTGCCAGTATATTGAATCTCACCCCTAGAATAGAGCAGTCTGAGGGTAAAACGCAATCATTGATGACGAATAGGCCACAGAGAGGTGGATATCGAGAAGGCTCCATGATGTCTAGTAACGTATATAGACCTAGTGAGTGTAAAAGGATTCGTAGTATATCCTCAACAGATAAGTTACAAGATGCAAGACAAACACGGCTGTGTTTTACACGTTTGCAAGAGGTGCATACAGAAGTGAACTGTGAACCAGTGAGCAAGTTCAGTGATAAACTAAATGTAAACTCCAGGCCTGACTACAAATTGTGTGACGATAACGGTGTGGTGAAGAAGCCTGTAGTTGCAACTGGTAAGCCATTATTGAATAGAGGGTCACAGACGACACCGTAGTTTGTGCAGGAGAATCCGATTCTGACTCCACAAGTTTTCAACGCATTACAAGTCAGAGTGAAGGTATAAAACCTTTAAGGATTTGTGAGGAAGAACCCAAATTGTCTACTTCTGTTATTAGAGTTTGAAAATGATGAAGTCGATCATACAAACGGCGGTAAAATGGATATTTGTGACAATGATCATGATAGTGCACTTTTATATTTGGTTGATCATGATGGGATGAGACGAATGCCTATTACTGCTGAGTTGAACAAGGATTCTGTACAACTTGAACATGAAGTAGAATTAAGAGCAGATGCGGTTGCAGAAGGTATGGATACTCATGAGACTGTCAGTGTAAGTGATCAGCGTGTAGCCCACCTATCAACAGATGTTAATGCTAGACTGGAGGTAATAATAAAAGACAGCAGTGGTGGTAATCTTGCAGTTAGACAACCTTGTAAATGTCAGAAAACAAGAGCTTCTGATGCACCGCTAAGTTCATGAGATTGTATCTCACAGTCGTCGTTGGTGTTGTCATCCACAATGAAAATGATATCCATGAACTCGCGTGTCTTATGCTATGACTGTGCTATTATCAGTTCGTTTGAAAGGACGAAAGTCAATGGTAAGTTTAGTGATGATAAGTCAACTGTGTAATCGTCATTTACAACAAGCTTTGACAATCGGTCTTCTTCTTGCTCTAAAACAGCCAGGCCAGCCTTTCTTTCTGAAAAAGAAGAAATGAGAAATTCATTTAGTGGTATCATGCTAGCTTTTATCTCATTACATCGCTCCCTCCCCTCTGGAGGCACTGTCCTCAGTGCCTGGCGGCGGTATAGGGTAGGCACTACCCCATCGGTAAGCACCTTGAGGTAGGTCGTAGCGGGTGGTGGTTGTGAAGATGTCGGTGGATCTTTGACGGCTGCTGGATAGTGTGGTTTCATTTGGTTGTAATGCGCGGAGATGAGGTTTTCTCGAGGACGTCGCAGGTTCCGCAGGACATACGTAGTCGGAGGTCGGTGTTGTACGATTTCATATGGACCTTGCCAAGAAGTGTAGAATTTGGGGCACGGACGGTGGAACCAGACGTAGTCACCCGGGGAGTAAGTTGGTCCTTGGGCAGACCGGTCATAATTGCTTCTTTGATTTTGTGAGGAAGACTGCAGATGACGGAGTGCGAGGTTGTATGCTATGTCGAGGTAGTGGCGAAGACTGCGGACATAGGGAATACAGTCGATCTTCTCCTGTGGTAACAACGGTGTCCGTATCTCGACTGGAAGACGAAGTTCACGCCCGAACAGAAGCAAAGCCGGAGAAAATCCTGTCGACGAATGTACGGAGGAGCGGTACGTAAGCAAGCACTGGGGTAGGACATCGTCCCAGGTGTCCTCTGGTGTACTGTGCAAAAAGGCATGAAGAAGTTGCCTAATGGTTCTGTTGGTGCGTTCAACCAGCTCATTACCTTGTGGATGATACGGCGTCGTATATGTCTTTCGAATACCGAAAGCATTGCAGATGTGAGTGATAAGGAGACTCTCGAAAGCGGCGCCTTGATCAGAGTGTAGATAAAGGGGGGCACCGAACCGGGACACC